ACAAATTGTTTGTTGTCTGCAATCAATCTACGGCAGCTTTTTTTAAAGCTCATTATCACTGGTCTCTGTGGCCTACTGGCTTAAAAGCAATACATGCATACAGTCATTAGCTGATTTGTTTTTCTGCAGGAACCTAATGAGTTCACATTTCTTGTAATGCAATCGTAATGACCTGAGTAATTCAAGGAACGTCGAAATTAATATCTGATATTGGCCAGAAGAAAATTGCTTTCAATCCGACTGTAAACTGAGTTCAATGTGTCACCTTTTCACTCACTTTTATTTAGTTTACCAGGAATAAATCTGAAACTAACTGTAAAATAAAGGTTTATTGAACTCTAATATGTAGTCAAGGTATGTTTTACACAAAAAAATGACCGTATAAAACAAGACACACATACTGGTGTTTTATGAAGAAATATTTCCCTTCTCAAAACTATAATGTTGATTTAACTGACTTTAGAGCAACTTAAAACAAACAAAAATGCTATTTTATCTCAAGAAATAAATCCTGAACATTACATGTTAGTGTTAACAATAGTTTATAACTGCTCTGTTGTTTTACCCTACTGTATTGGGAACATAATCCCAAGACCTCAGTGTCTAATGTGGTATGGTAGATGATGATTTGTCTCCCCCTTAGGGTTATTAACCAAACTGTCCTGCTCTCTCATGGTAAATGGATCTTTGTGTAGTTCAGTGACAATTTCACTAAAACCACCTTCATGCAAGCAGATGTAAACAAGTGCTATTAATAATTTCTGTTAGTTTGTATTATTGTATCTATTAAATTACTAGCTGTCTCTCTGCATACAGTCTTATAGAATAGCAGGCCTGTAGTATAAGTAGTCAAGATTTGAAGGGATTTTTTATTTTTTTTGCATACTCATTAATATGATCAGCAGTTATCCGTCTCTACTCCACTAAAGCTAAAATGCTCCCCAGTGGATGGTCGGCGGGTCAGTGAAGGCTGAGGGCTATCAAAGCAGTGTATTAAAAGGAGTTCTTTGAAGCTTGTAAACCACGGTGCCCAGCAGGTCCACAACAGACAGATGCCTCTGATTGGTCAGGTGTGTGTGTGTTT